CTGGGCTAGATGCACCTGTTTCACCTGGTGGACCAACTGGACCATTTTCACCTGTCTTGTCAACTGAAGGATTATGCGTCTGAGTGGTCTGAACCGCATTCCCCCTAGCCCCGACACCAGGTGCCGCAGCAGCAGGTGGTCCCCCTCCGGATGCACTCGGCGTGGATGTTGTTGGTGGTGCTGCTGGGGGGCCTGCTGGTGGTACTGGTGCCGGTGCGGGTGCTGGTTCCTGCGCTGATTTTACGTCTTGTGCGCGCGTACTGGAATTATCCTCGTGAGTGCGCGTACCTACAAATGTAAACCACAAGGAAAATGTTATGATGATGAAACTGAAGTTGTTTATGAGGCGCATGGTCACACAGGCGGTCCACGGCGGTTGCATGGTTGCTCATGATTGACCACACGGTCAGGCGATGATGCTTGACCACACGGTCGGCACCATGGTGCCACGGGGACGGAGGCAGGCGTCGGGGACACGGTGCGAACGGTGGGTCGCTGGTGCCACCCCGGGGAAAAGACTGTCTCTCTGTCTCACACAACACACACAACACACACAGTGTCTGTGTCTGTCGATGTCTGTCGACGTCGACGTCTAGCTGTCTACATCCCGCGGCCGACCCATCGCTCTACCTGCTGCGGCGCCTTACGCTCCCGCGCGCCCGACCCATCGCTCTAAAACACGCTCCCGCCCGCCCATTCTCATTCGACGTTTGGTTTCTCTCGCTCTCTCTCCGTCTTGTCTCTCCCTCGCTCTGCGGAAATTGTTGTTGTTTTTTTTTTTGTTTTTTTTTTTTGTTTCCTGTTGTCCGTGTCCGACTATTCATTATTCGTACCTGTTGGTACATTCTGTGTAGTTGTGGAAGTGCCTATGGATATTGTTGTTGAACCCGTACTACCGTAGAGACCCCACTTCCCGGAGTCATACTCGTCCTCCAACTTAGTGACAGTGTTAGGACCCGTAGGTTGCTCCTGGTCCTCTAGGCATGCGCTAATTTTATCGTAGTCGTTCCCGAACTCTTCACACTTTCCTCTCTTACCTGGTTCACTGGTCTCAGCTGGTCCTGATGCTGACGGTGACTGAGGAACAGGTGGTGATTGTGGTGCTGATGGTAGCTGTGGTGGTTGTGGTGTTACATCCTCTTTGTTCGGTTCCTTGTCCTCGGCTGCAAATGATGCAAGGAAGATACACGACAAAATGATACAAAACACGACACAAGTGGTACAGAAAGAAGGGGGCCGGGACGGTTCGATCAGGTAGCGGCAGCTAGCGCCAGGGTAGGGTCCGGCTCAATGCAGTGGGTCGATGCAGTGGGTCGAGGTAGGACTCGATGGACTGCGTACTCGGTGGACTGCGTACTCGGTGAACTGGGATGGCTGGTGGGTTCAGTACACTTTTATGTTGTCGCCGTCATCTCGTCTCCGGTGCCTCATCGCCTCTGCCGTCGCCGTGGCCACCGCTACGGTCGTGGCTGCTGTGCGGTTCCGCGCCCGTGCGTAGTTCACGTGCGTTGTTCTCTCCGTGTGCGTGTTGCGTTGTGGTGGCGGCATCCACATTCGGCAGTGTGATCCCGTGTGCGGCCGTATGATTGGTATGCTTACGAGTCGTATTCGTACTGTTCTTACCATCCGCGTCGTCTTCTGCATCCTCTTCATCGTCATCCTCATCATCCTCGTCATCCTCTTCTGAATCCTCAGCCGTCTGGTCAAGGCTATTCCCCGTTGCACCACTTATTCTTCCACGGAATTTCTTTCTGACGAGTTTCACAATTTTTGTCGTGCGTTCCTGCAACGTCTTCATTACTTCTGCCTCCTCCTGGCCTGGCACTTCACCCAGTTGTGCCGTTGTACCCTTTTCCCCTGCTTTATCGCCCTGCCCTACAACTTTTCGGCACTTGTTCGCCAGTGCTGCTCCTGATATTTTCTGCTTCAACCCCTTATCCTGTCGCAACCAATCTTTGATTTTATCCTTCATTGACCACTGCCCTGTCCTGAGGTCTATACCTAATAATTCTTTACATTCCCCTTCTATACTTAACCCCGGAATACCATCCGCCCACATTTTGTTCATTACCGTCCATGCGTTATATATTGCCCACGTTCCTCCGCATGCCGACTGCTCTAATATACTTGCAAACATGGTAACTATTGCACACTTTACGTACTCCTTGAACTTCACATTATTGAGATTACTGGTATCTTCTGTGGTCTGTACATGCGTCCAGTCCGTCAGAAACCATAATGCTGTTGCCATCAGTTTACATATAACTTTATCCCCTACTGTATACCCCACGTGCCGTGTGTCTCCTCCACTTTTCGGGTGAAACCAACCTACATTGTCGCAGTTTGCGCCTAGGTCATTTGCATCGTTTGAATCCATGTGCTGCACAAACTGCGTTAATATTGTCCATATGTCCTTGTCTAAACTGGCCTATATTAAATATTACATGCACCAAACTGTAAATATACTCCATATATGCGCTCGCGCAACTGTTATGTATATGCGCACACAGCATTATTGACTTGATGCATATGACCTTGGGTCTTACTGTAATACGCACAGCCTTCATACAGTTATGTACGGATCGCGTTGTACATACACACATATGTCGTGCTCATAGATATCGGTGCATACCCACTGGGCCCTTCATTTGTGCTCTCAATAATTAATTACCTGATAGCGCTCATCATTGCCGTATAGGTGCCTATCCTTTGCGTATTGTGCCAATATAGCCGCTAATTCCTTAGCCGACATTGTGCTCCGTGCTCGATAAGCTCAAATATTACACACCTGAGTATGGTCCCAATGTGCCACGTGAACTATAGTAACCTGCACATGTCCCCTGTGGGCCTTGTTATATTCTGCCTTTACTACTGATGAGTAATTGCTCGCCTGAACACATAACATTGGAACTGAATAGAGAACAAAACCCCTATGTGCCCTGTGTGCAATCACATTCTTCTACTGTTATTATATTCCGCAGGAACCATATACAGAGAATGACAGAGGAATAAACATAGAGGATCCCCAAAAAAAAAAAAAGGAAAAGAAAAAGAAAGGTAGAAAGGAAAAAAAAGTAGTACACTACACTACCGGTCACACGCAACACCGTCATGAATACCACCCCCTCACCCCCTTTCTACACCGGTCTCCACTAAACGCCTTCACACACT